TGAAAACCAGTGGGAGCGTGAGGATGTTGATTACCAGAATGGTGGATATCATTACCTCCGGAAGCACTGTTGTTTAGTTGCATGGGTAAATGGTGTCCTGGATACTGAGAATTAGACAATTCAGTTGTGTGGGCGGCTGCTTGTGTATTTTGCATTTGGGATGAATCTCCATGATAAGGATATACAGGTTGTTGTAGATGAGATGTATGAGTGAGGACATGGGATTGGTCTTGCAGGTGATAGGCAGAAGTGTTGTAACCATCTTTGGAGATGGGTGGAGAATGATGCGATCCATGATGATCTATAGGAGAATATCGAGGATTTGAAGTGACAGTGGGATTATTAGACTGCAAAGGATGAGGAATTTGTTGGTGGGCCGGTATCTGGACGCGCATTTGATTTACCTGGTTAAGAGGGCTTGTATCGTGATTCGAGTGCGACTTTGTTAACCGTTCATTACTGTCATATACTTAAATAAATAGGAACGAGGGAAAAACGTTTAGAAAAATGAGATATATTTAGCATAACTGATAATAATGAACTCTTCACACTAGACTAAAAAACGGATTTTAAATGTAGTAATGAGGAAGATAACAGTATTGAGTGGTAAATTAAGCTTTTTATTAATTAATGTAACTCAATAGTAAAGTCTTTTGTGAATAAGTCAAAGCAAGGCTGACTCACAGATTACCCAACTATATAGACCGAAAAAGTGGAAGAGTTAATCAAGGTTTAGATCCAATTGTAAAGTATCCAGACAAACTCAACGACTACTGAGCAACGGGCACAACAATACATGTAATAGTCATCAATTTCATTTAAGGATTTTGCATTTTGAAATGTAAATCAACGAGTGAAGCAAAATTTGGAAATAAAGTTGATTAGTTTGAATGGACAACTAACCAGGCAAAGAATGCTTAAAGAGTTGTGGCTTTGCGTTTTGGAATTTAGGATTATTTACTGGGTTATGGGTCTACAGTTTCCCCCACCCGCTACCCCATAAATAACCACATCTTATCCTCCAGATACTATATATGGTAGGTTAGGAATACATAAGCCCAGGTTAGTGAGTTGCATTTTGTTTAGTATCTGATAAACTGATATTCACGCTTCAATGATAGGGGGCTGAATTATTATTCACTTAAGTATTAACACGTAGAACACTGATTAAGGCATTTAAGTCCTACTTTGATTGGGGCAACCAGATAGATTTACTTGCCTGCAAGAATATGACTTGGAGCTGCCTACATGAATTCGAAATTGATAATCGAGTTACTTCACCATGTTTTAACAAAAATCGTCAAATGAATTTCCTTACAGGTCGTTTTCGATATGATCAAATTGATTAACTAACCGACGCTCTGTATTTCAAACTTCGCATTTATTTCAGAATTTCCTTACTCGACTTCATTACATGGAAGACTTGCAAGAATATATACTGCTCAATTATATATGGTATTAGCGATCACGTCTTGCATAATCGTATCCAAAGTACTGAGCTATAACACTGTTTCGTACTTTTCATGCTCTGAATTCATTCTTGTCCAACTACAGTTTCCAGTCCTTGGTCTTTTTGTTTTCGATGCTACTGTTGTTCCTGACTATTCCATTCACCTTTATAATTATAATTCATCATACTAAAGTAATAAAACAACTTCGATTAACGCAGATTTGTCACATGCTATATGGTGATTAAGACTGAACTGGGTAAATAATTCAACTTTTATCAGTATCACCAGTAAAATTAGATGGTAAATACCAACCACTTTTAGCTTTGGAGATTTTTTCGTTCGTCAAACCCACTGATGCAAATTAAACATCTTAAGTTATAACACGCTGTGTTTAAATTATCCTGCCTGTGTCAGCAAACAATGAAGCTGTGTCAGTTTAGTCATCCACAGCACAATAAGACAGAAAATCATAGCACGCCACAGTGGGGATGAACAACCTAAAATGGCACTAGTTGATTAGAAAAACAATACACAACTTCAGAACTCTAAAAATGAGGTCGAGATTCTTATCACTAACAAAAAAAACTTTAAAAATTGCCGACTGACTCTGGTGTTGTCTTTTGATCAGCTTCTAAATACACTGATACGATTGATGGTGGAGAGTCCGCTCTTCATCTCGAAATGCTCTCATATGGGCATTGACAGGGAAGTCTTACTCACTGACTTCCAGCACCGGAGTGCTGTTTAAGAAATTGAGAGGACGAAAGTGAATTCCCGGTGTGTAAACCGAGTTGGTGGGTACGGGGGATTCACATAGAGGTGGAGAACCCTGATTTCATGCATATTATATTACGTTAATTTTCTCTTTTCTTCATTTACAATTATCATCTTATAACTATTTAAACTTTTATTTTATTGACCTTTTATTAATCTTCATTTAAATTCTCACTATTCTATCAAAACAATTTATTAATTTCTGACCACCAGATACCATGGGACTACACTTCTTAACGTTGGTCCACTGCCTTATTGGATTAGACCTCCAGACCAAAGGCTGAGGAATACCCCCGTAAGAAAACCACCTGCTTTGGGGCACCTGAGCAGTATGCCAACTCACAAATCCAACGATTTGTGTGACGCATTTATATTTCAGTTCCCTTTTGTACCTGTTTGCACTTAAATAAGTGTCTTTTGGTCATTCAGACCAGCTCGTCATTAATAACCAAGTAAATATCGATCAATGTGATAACAGTCCCACAATGCTCTCATATGGTCACGCGTATATAGCCACAGCCACCGAAGTCCTACTTACACTGTCAGCATAAGCGCCATGATTGGATTCTGTAAAATTAACGAAATCTGCTTTTTGACGACCACTAAAATCAATGTTGTCTGTTATAGATTGCGTTCAGCATTATACTGTTGAGTATACCTAGTAGCACTACACTTCTACTTATTTTATGGCTGTGAAATGTGGCCTCTAAACTAGACAGTACTTGTATCTAGCCCCAGATGTCCTCGAAAAATTCTTCGAGGACCGTCAAGTTAGCTATCCGAAGGTTAGACACAGTACTTGGTAAGAATGGCAAGTTGACTGAGATGATGAGGGCATATTACGTATACCCATCCACCAACTACCTCAACGAGCTACGAAAGCTGAAGAGTGGGTTGGAATCAAACTAGAGACGGCAGCAAAAAAACACGATATTAGCCTAGTAGTAACAACAAATGCTGGTTAGAATACTATACCTGGTTAGTTAATTTAAATAATAAGACATAAATGGTCAAACTTATCATGGCATGAAACGTCTTATCCCGATCTCTGTAAAACATCTCGGTCAGTCATCAGTCAGTTACAACGTAGAACTTGGTACGTACGTACATCAGTTCAAGTTGCCAGTAATCGGAAAGTTTAGGGTTCGAAGATATTATTCAAGAAGTAGTATCTAGTGAAATAAACTTAACACGAAAAAGATAACGGTGATGAGGAACTCCGAAGGTTAGGATTTGAGAGGACATAATGAATGAATGCACCATTGCAAGCGGTTTTGAGCCATGTCATTAGGGGTCTCTAAACATCCTTTACCATCATCTCGCGGGCCCCAACCAGGTAGTCGACACCTACTAACATGACTCAACTCAGTTATCAGTAACTGCATGAATTTGCGCTATGTTTTGTTTTAGCCACCCCTAGGCTTCTTCCCACCTATTCCTACATCACAAAACATAGCTCGATGAGGCAGCCGGTGGTTAGGCATACACAACACATGTCCCAACCACCTCAACTGGTGAAGTTTCAATACATCATCTATTGATCTGCCATCCTTACCTAGGACCCGTTTCCTAAAGACAGCATTGCCTACTCGGTTGTTCCATGATACGCGAGCATTGCTTTGAAGACATATGATAGAAAACCAGCAACCTACGAATATCTACTACTCCGACTGGCCATGTTTCACAGCCCTAATGTAGGACGGAGCAGACTGCTGCGCAATACACTCAACCTTTGTTTAGCAGACGGATATCTTTGTCTATTATTCCAGCTATCATCGCTCGTTACGGTTGTCGGTGGATGAGCATACGTAATATGCCCTAATCATCCTACTCGATTTGACATCCTTACCATGTACTCTGTCTAAACTCTGGATAGCTAACTTGATGTTCCCTGTAGCCTCTCT